AAGGGCATCCTTCAGCTCAGGAGGCACCTCCTCCTCAATCCATACACGTTGCACCAAGTGGTGCAGCGCAGTCAACAACGCGGGTCCGCCGTGTTTCAATACTTCAGGCGAGAATCTATGCGTTCCGGCACATTTGCCGTTTCGCAGCTGAGCAGGTGCTCTCTGCGTCTCATCCAGTGTCGGCGTGTCCGCTAGACTCGCCTTCACATCGTACTGCTTCAGGCCGTTCAATGTAGGCCAGTCGATTTCTGAAAGGTTATTCAAGACATTCGAAGTGTTTTCGCCAGATCTGCATTATGTCTGCAGTCTGTGTGCAAGTAGCTCCTGAGCTACCCTCCAACAGCGTCCTCAGCGGCTCCAATTTCGGTTAACACACCGCATTCAAGGAGTCAAAGAATTCCTTGTATTGGCGGCGTTCGGCGTAGCATTCCATCTGCTTCTTCCCCGACACCAGTGCGCCAATCGTCGCATTGTCCTCATCGAACCAATCAGGCCGCTTACAGTTTGCGCGCCCGATGGTCTCCTCGGCAGTAGCTGTCACCTGGTCGCGAATGTGGTGCCACAGGTCACCCACTGTGGCTATGCAGTCCACATCACACAGGCGTGCAGCCATCTTCTTCTCCAGCTGAATACGTTGCGCCCCAGAACCGAAGGAGAGAATGTTAAATTTACGCCGATTCACGACAGGAGTGCAATACATAGATTTACGGAAACACGTACAGTTTCGTCCTCACCAATTTGTGATCAGTGCCACACTCAGCTCTACACAGTACACATGTCACGCGCACTTCACGAATATCACGCTGACGTACGATGACATAGTCGAGCAGGTGAGCGTGACCACTCCGTGAGTGCGTCCAAGTTGCTATATCACTCGCACTCAGTGCAAACCGAGTGTTCGTGATCGGCAGGCCGTGAGTGGCACACAGTGAGAGCAGCCTGTCACCGTTCGCATTCGCTGAACCAATGTCATGCGGACCGATAACATCTGTCCACAATGATGCATCACGCCCAACGCGCGCGTTGAAATCACCCAGCAGGCCAAGGAGGCGATCGGATAATGAAAATCCGACCCCAAGATCACGTGGTGCTGAGACGGCCATACCCACGCAGTAGAATGTGAAGCCAGCACCTGCTTCATGCAACTTACCTTGCTCAGCGAGCGGAGTTTCACTGAGTGCGGCAATATCGAATTGGTAAGGCGTATATATATATATATATATATATATATATATATATATATATATGGTTGGCAGCACCCGGTTCCGAATTCATCTGTCACTGTGGCCAGCCACAGGACGCCTTCGCCAACGAAGGGACCACGGGTAGCTTGCGCTGCGCAACCCACAGCTCCAACAACCCACCCAATATCCAGTGTAGAGCCAAAGGAATAGGACCGAGAGGCACGTGGATGGAAGCCACGTTACATCAACGGAGCCTGTCCACACTCCTTCAACAAGCAAAACAAAAGCATTCCGGCCTACTTGGGAATTCATACACACCAGACGTACACATGGCGGTGGCTGGACCGTAGCCCGTTCCACACGAGATGGAACCACTCTAAGCCTAGCACCGTCAAGAGGACGGTGCACCCGGTCCCCTCCAGCAACAACCAACTGTCTCCTTGAGCCAGTATGGAAGAGGTAGTGGGTAATAGACAGGTAGGCACCTTGGCAACATTCATATGAAATCAGGCGCAGCCACACCGGGGAACTCAAACATCATCTACTTCTGAAATGCAAGGTTACTCGTCTCGCATGCAAACGCACTACATACGCCGTCTTATTGGCCTAGATTAGTAAATCGAATGGGAACGTACTCATGGTGCTTCTATTACACCTGCAATAGTGCCTTCTCCTGCACCTGAGCAACCACCCATTAAAAGTAATCCACGGAATTCGCATCGATCAAAATTTGACTTGGATTCGCAACACCTGTAATCAACACGAGTTTGTCATAAACTCACTTTCTTCATGTTCTGATAATGTTATTTTCGGTTTGCCCGAGTGCCGTTCCCCTGCACTAAGCTGGTCGTACAAAACCGGTATGAGTATCCTCGTCGAATTCTTTCGATATACTTATATACATGGATTGGGGTCATCCGTGTCCAATGGCAGCTCGAATACAACATATGCACATGCATTTATCCAAACTGAAGTGTAAGCCATCACAAACTGGATAAAGACACGTTAGACCTCATGATCAATGGTACGACAAACGTGTATGTGTTTCGTTCGGAGGTCAGGCTAACAAACACTTTCGCAGGCATGGGAATAACTACCCAATACGAACTGTTGCCGTTTTCATCAACATTTAGACGTGACAGTCTTAAATCTTGGGCATCCATATTTGAAGGGATCCGATGTGGCAATAGTAAAGCAACTGCTAGGTAGGATGATGACTAGACTATTGGTACAGTGAAATAGTGTGCACTTAGGTGTTGCCCTCTACATGTACAGTCTGGTTTGAGTAACTGATGTGGGAGATCACACAGCCTGTGAATGCGATGCAGTGTCCGCTTCTGGCTCTGCGTGACGCCCATCTGTCTGGTCATCTGCTGCCCGAGGTACGTGCACATTCTCAAAGAACGATTGATGCGCAACCTTTGATATTGACAGGTGACATCAACTAAGTCCCGCTGCCCACTGTTAAACATTCGACTTTCCAAACAGTGCTAGCATTGTTTTGCAAATGTCCAAGTATTCCAACGTTTGTATATACCCATGTAAATAAATAAATAGTGTGTACTTTGTTGTCACCATAAGCTTTTTGATAAAGATCTGTATCATACGTCTCCGGGTGCAGCCATTTGGTGCTCGTAAAACGATTGTCGCTATGCGCCGATTCCTTTCCGATGTAATATACTAAGACACTGAGGTGCTATTCCCCTTGGGTTTGACATTTTACTTCGTCTTTGCAACAGATTGGCCATGTGTAATACAAGTTCTGATAGGCGTCTCTGCGTTTCCGCATTCCATCCGCTTAGTACGCGCGTCTTCAGGATTTGTACTTTAGGCGAGTCACATTTAGACATCGAGTCAGCAGTTAATAGTGTTACGCGAGTGGAGATGCCATCAGTCTGTCAGGCTGAAGTGCGGTGCTTAAAGTGCTTCTAAATGGCTTCCACTTAGTCATTCAACGTGAAATATCAGTTGACATACCAAAGGTCCCTGGTTCGAGTTACAGCACTGCAGTGTTGCGAACGGGTATTTGTTCACACTTGTTTACGGAATACCAAAAAACTAAATGGAGAAACAATAACCCTCATGAGCAATAACATTACGAACGTGCATGAGTTTGGATTGAATGAAAGAATAATAGCCATATTCCTATAGTTTTAGAAAATCGCACGTAGAATTAGAAGTAACCAATACTACTGTCAGTGGTTAGTTAGCGTTTGAATGTGAACCTAAACGGCAACCTTAAGTTTAGTAAGTGTGGGTATCAACAACAGATTGAGACAGATATGAAAATAAGGAAGCAAACGCCATCAGTATGGTTATCAAGTAGAATGATGCACAACTAAATGTATTGTAAAACACAGATGACTTATGGTTCCTGTGTATTATAGATGCTGTCTGCTATAAGCGTTGGTAGACGATAATATCATACATTTCCTGATGGCCTCCTTGACGCTATCACATCACCAACATATGTGGTAAATTCCGCTGGTCCCTTGTTCTACCATCGGTTTACGAAAGAGTGTGCAAACAGTTTTAGCAAATTTACAAGTAGTACCTTGCACAACATTTAATTATCTAATATCTCTGAAATGAGTATGTGGTGGGACACGTGGACACGATGGTATCTTCACAGCGGGGTTTGGAATGGAACCACTTAGACATAGCTGAGAAAACAATGAACGAGTAAATCTCCATACCCATGGTGTGATTTGCAATGAAAACATTGAGCATTGCACAGTTAATCATATGAGGGTGGACACAATGGATATCAAGAGCCTGGACAGATGGCGCAGATAAGGTGGTTAGCTGAACGTATGATATACCCATGCGACCTGGATTTCTCATCGTAATTTTAGCGCTTACGATTTACTAACAATCTGTCCTCATACATCTCGGTTGCAGCTATTCTTCGCAACGAATCAATTGTTTCTGTGCTGGATTTATTTTCCAATTAAACATTTATTTAAACACCACCGTACCACCACAGTTGGACTAACCTACTTTGAAGTCAATCTAGTTGATTGGCTATTTATAATTTAAATTGTAGCAGGAACGTTTGCTCTTCCGCACCTAATCTCGATAATAGCTGACTTATCCTAACTTCAGTATGAGCGATGTACAGCGGGAAGTATAGCTACACTCATTCTTGTGACTAATATATGAAACAGAACATGTAGCATCAATAGCAACATGTTAATCTCCAGTCAGTTACTTGCCGGAATTAGTCAATTCACACACGGATAAGCCAACATTAAAACATTTGCAACACCGAACGCCGAATTTCCAAACTGCATTCCAAACCGAGGAAGGGTTGTAGACTACTTGGGCTCCAGGGATAATTGTTGATCACTACACCCAAGTGTTCAATCGAATGCACGAACAAATGTGAACTATTGTGAGCAGCAACCGCTTGGTAGCCAGGAGTTAACGGGACCCATATGCAAGTGGACATGAGAACAAGGAAACCGTTTCAGAGTGATTTTCAACGTCTGACCCTTGAGTTGTCGTTTTGTGACAGATCCTTGCGCATACGCAGTGGGATTGCGTTTCAATGGGACAGTACATTACGCATAACCTGCCTACTTTGTGACCCGAACTATCAACTCAAAGTCGAAAGGCATTATTGTTGGGGCGACCTCTGTCTCCTCTGCGAGTACACTATGCACAGGCACACGGAGTGAGTGATTGGGGGCAAAATGAACAAAACGGGAATCGAACCGATGAAGGAACATATATGAGCAAAGCGAATGTACACGTATAAAAAGCAAAAAGTCAAGTGTGTATGACAAGGTAAAGTTCATATGGAACGAAGTTTACCTCCTCAAACTTCTCGCGCCTCTCTGTGGGTGCGTAAAACACGGGGCTGACGTACAACATGCTGATCACAGTGAGCACTTCGATCAAACAGCCCAGGTGTGCAGCTGACAGGATGACACGCGAAAGACGAGGTTCCAAAGGGAAGACAGACATGATCGTACCGAGTGGTGTGAGCTACCGACCAGACACAAATAAGAAGAGGACAAAATTAGTAGGTAGTGCACACATTGAAAAATTCGCTGAAACGACGTCAAGTGGGGGGCAAATAAGTAGTTGATGAGTTGGGCATTAGGAGGCGGTGAGACATTTGTAGACTGAGTTATGCAAATGACAATGGCATAAATATACATTGACCATAAAAAGGAAAGCAGTAACAAGTGAACGCAGATGTGTAATTGGTACACAGCCAAAAGGATTTCAGAAACCACTGGTTAACACCACAGTAGGCTTACGACTGGAGATACCGTCTTAGCGCCAGCACCCAAACGCAGGCAGGAGTGCCACTAACTGGTGACAATTAAAGCAATCGCTATGCGGCTCCAGAACCAACATTATTGCGTGTAAAACATTTTTGCCAAGTTTCTCAGTCTACCATGGCCAAGGTAGCCGATTTAGGCAGGACAGCCATGCATTTCAAGTTTTCGTCCCGCTTTTTTAGAAATGCTGGGCGGGACGCACTAATGTCCCGCCTTGAGGTCGAAGACCTCAGAATGTCCCGCTTTGAGCATGTAAAATGTATGTGAAAAAACCAAACCAATCAGTGACGGTGCGTGCACACCATAAGACAAAATAAGTAGGAGGGCGTGAGTTGGACGGGATAATCGACTGTGTTGGTGGGCAAAGCCGCAAGGTTTTTGCGACAATATAAGAAAGAAGGAAGAAAAGCGATGATGAAGTCGTTGTGCCTTTAGTGGAGAAGGCCTGCACTAAGTACAGTTTGGTGGGAAAATCATGTAGAAACGAAGGTGTAAGATGACTACTCAACTGGAGAGCGATTTCCATTCATTAAGAAAGCAACACGCGACAACGATTCGCAGGTCCGATGTGACACGGTGGCAGATCAGATATCAAAATGCACCTAAAAGCTGATCGCTATAAGGTAGCCGTGTCTGCGGCAGCATCTTATACCTCCGTAATAAATTGTTTCCGATCAGCAACCTTTGGAAACACAGAAACCAAGTTAGTAGCCACATAAAGTACCTTCCCTTATCACGCTGTATTCTGTAACCACAGTTTCCGCTCCATGAAATGCACCAGCAGATGGGTAGAAAATTGTTTGAACCGAAGTTTGTTTGTTTCCGCGCAAAATGTGACGTGAGAATAAGTAATATCATACACCCGACTGCCAGAAAGAAAAACTGAAGAAGGCAAAATTCGTGTCAATATTCCCCGACGCTTCAAACCCCAAGGAAGTGAAGGTGTTCCCGCTTCTTGTGAGATATTTTAAGCCATCAACGGGTATTAAGGTGAAGTCATTAGATCTGCAGTCAGTTAATGATGACTCGTCGGACACCATTTGTGAATTTGGAAGGAGTGTGTTGGAACAAAATAACATGACCAGAAAAACGGATTTTGTGCAGACAACGCCAAAATAAATTTCGTTGGCGTCCAGCGAAGAGGACAAGGCAATGTATTTGTTAAATTGAAATTTTCGATTGAAGAAACACTTGTGGGAATTAGTTGTGTGGCTGAAATTGTTCACAACACATTGTAAACGGCAGCTGACTTTCCTCCTATTGATGTTGAAACAGTTGTGGAGAAAATATATTCCTACTTTTACATGTACACTATTCGTCTTGAAGAACTTAAGGAATTCTGTCACTGAAATGGTGGAATACCGTAATCTAGGAGAAGGGAAAACCAGTTGGCTTTCACTTATGCAAGCAGTGGAGATGATCCACAAGGTTTTTCAGCGTTGACATCTTTTTTGGTCTCTACAATGTTTCTTTGAAAATCCCGGTGCTGAGCTGTGGCTCTAGTTTGTACACAATATCACTGCCAATTTCACACTGCTGCACTCAAAATTGAGGAACAAAATACGTTAGCACTGGAAGTGTCGCATGCAATGTACGAACTCCTGCAGAAGTGCAAGGACAGAAGCAGAAACAGCTTTGTTCAAAACGAGATAAAGATCCGAATTGGCCCGCTCGAACAAGCGGTTCGCATCAGAAAATCAGATGTGATGAATAGCATCACCAGCTTCTAAGACAGTTACGTCGACTGCCTACAGAAAAGAATGAACCAATTTCAGGAAGTGAGTGGCTCCAGTTGGATGGCATTCGAACAACCACCGTCCTGGGAAAAGATTGAAACAAGCGCCAGTCTTTTTGGATCTAAATTCCCAGGCTTGGAAATTAATGACAAAGAGCTGCATGAAGAAGTTAACAACGTGTGAAGGTTTGCAACAGAAGAACAAAATTTCTGATTGGAACCGTAAACAAAGTGAAAAGTTAACAAGCGGTGGGTGGAAGTATTTTCCCACTTGCAGGACAACTAGGTCCCACGTAAACAAATCCAAAAACTTATCAAATTTATTCTCTGTCTCCCTGGGACTAATGTACCTACTGTAAGCATCTTCTCACATACAAAGAGTGTATGGACAAGCGAGAAAAGGCAGCTTAGCGTTGAAACACCGGAAGCGATGTTTATGATGAAATGAAATTTTGAGGACAAGAGTACCGGGTATCCCTGCGATCGAGTTTACGACACGCTGATGCAGCGCCCAGATCTGAGAAGTATTGCTTTACGATTGTGAGTCCAGACGATGCAATGTCAAGTAGCACATCAACTTCAATAGCGCAGCCATTGTACTGACGAATGATTTAAGTAATCTTTGTTATTGCAGTGAAGCAATACATGTATGCATTCAGCATTTCAATGCTTTGAACGGTCTGCACATATTGAAAAAACGGGGAGCAGTTTAAGCGTCCCGCTTTGACCCACAAAAAATCCGGAAGCGTCCCACTTTAGCCCGCGAAAAATCTGGTCACTTTAAGCATGGCTTGCAATCACATGGACGCACGATGCGTACCATGTCTCACTTATGTTATCTACAGGTTCAGCACCCAGCACGCAGGCCCCTTAAGTTAACGGCCTTCACCGTCTAGATTCAACACGATGATTTACTCAGACATCACCCAATCAACATACACGCAGTTCTCGTGTTCATCGTTTTCACGGAATTTCACGGCTATAAGCTCCATTAGCGAAGTCAACGCACGCTTATTCGTTTCAAATTTACCAGCTGTGACTAATGAACCATCGCATGCGTATATATCTTTTTACAAATCCAGTCATCATCGTTGACATCAATAGCAAAACACAAGCCGTCTGAACTGACGCTTCGCTGTCGCACAATCAAGGTAACTCACGGAACGAAGAACAGTAAGAGAGAACGGCGACCTAGGGTAAAACTTTAATGCAATAAACAAACATACCGTCTCAAGGCGCCTATACCTTGTCAACAACATACCGTCACAAACAGCTAACTATCGTGCAAAGATAAGGCGGCATCAGCGAGACAGCTTCCTTGTGGCTTTCACTGCCCCGTGTCATAATCAGCCATTACGCTGCAGATAATTCAACACCAAACACACTTTAAACAGGTAGTCCAACTAGGAGACAGCAGCAGACACGCCATTGGTGTCGACCGAGCCATGTTCTGTAAAGCCTCGAGCCAAGCATAAAGCGAGTCAACTGGACTCCAGCCTGCAAGGCGACACGGACCAACGGTACCCAGTTTGGTCGTCAGTGACTTCACTTCCCGCTGCAAAGTCAACTTCTATCCACCTCGAGAATTGCGCCATCCTACATCTGGCAAACACAACAAAGCCCTCCTCGGTAAGCGGTAACCAGGTATACGTAGTACGTGCCCAAACCAAAGCAGCTTATTTAGTGTTAATAATAATATCCAGTATTATCTGTTGTTCTAAGGAACTAGCCTGGTTGTCATTGCCCAAAACTCGCCTACGCACATCATAGCTGTGGACACACTGGTGCCAGCCGACACCAGCAAGGCTCCGCAGGCAACGATGATGGAACACTTGAATGCGCCGCAGGCCCACAGATCGGAGGGGCGAAGTCGCACTCCCATAAAGTAGGACGTTCCTCACCTTGGCCTTTCAGACCAAGGGACACACCATTCTGGCGCCATAGATGTCGCAGATTCAAAAAGACAGTTCTAGCTTTTGCAATGCGTGAACTGACTTAGGTGCTTGTGCGCCCATCGTTCCCGATAAATCTGCCAAGGTGAGTGAGGTGATCAATTACCTCGACCTCCACTCCACCAAGTGGCCGGTGTTTCTGCAACAGCAATTTGCACTTTGAAGGTGCGAATCGCATGTCAAAGGATGGGATCACTCTAATCAGCCTATTCAAGGTTGATTGCGTCGCCGCAACATCGTAAACAAGCAGGACAATATAGGCCGCATAATTCAGACCAACTAACCTTTCACCAGGTAGCACCTCAACGCCTGTATTGTGAGGCTCCGAGGGGGAAAAACACTATGATGCTGTCCACGACGTAGTTGAACAAAAACAGGAATATTGGACAACGCTGACGAACCTTACTTTTTGTCGGAAAGGCATCCCACAAATCACCGCAGATTCTGAAGTGGCCTGTAGTGTTCGAGTGTAGAGCAAGTCAAATGTTCACATTTTTCATGGGAACGCCATTCCGCACGTATTTTGAACATAATGCATCAGTCGACTGAATCGAACGTACTCTTGAAGTACAGGAACCCAGCTACTGTCGGCCTGTGGTACGTGTGGCGCTGCTCTAGCACCTGTCGCAAAGTGTATATGTGATCTATACGGCCACGTCATAGGCGGAAGCCTGCCTGCGCTTCCCTAATTCGTGACTCACGTTCCGCAGTGAGATGTCGAACGCGAATTAAGGCCAGTAATTTTGTCAGCGCCGGCGTTAAGCTAATACTTCTGTGGTTAGCACAGTGAGTACGACTGCCTTTCTTGTAGATCACCACTATAATTGCTTCAGTCCAGTTAGCTGAGATGGTCTTTGCCTTCCAGACCTGCTCGAACATGGAGGTCAGTGATTGCAGAGGACCTCATTTCCATCCTAAAGTAATGCGGGTGTGAGCGAATCCCGGCTAACAGCAGGAAAACGATTAAGGGCTGCGATGGCGTTTCGGATCTCAGCCTCTGACGAAGTCTCTAAAATAACTGGCCATGGCTCAGGCTGCAACACCGGAGTAGAAAGAATTCCAGAAACAAGAGGACAACTGAACTGCTCTTGAGTGCTTTGCCCAACGAGCCATACGGCGCTCTTCATGGTGAATCATGGCACGCGCGCTGTCTCTGGTTGTCTTGCTGATGCCTGTTGTCCCGAGACGAATGGAGCGGATTAGCTGGGAGAGCTTGCGATAATTGCCTACCGCTCCCGCCTCTTCCATATTTTGAGCCCGATGGTCCACCAGGCTTTTTTATCAGCACACAGGCTCCCTTTTAGTATCTGCCTAATAGTCCACCTAGTTACATTGCACTCAGAACCAGTCGGGCGTTTCCTTCTGGATTCCAACAGGTTCATAAATCTAGGGACTGATGCGGAAACGATCTATAGTGCCATAAGCAGATGCTCCTGCATGGTGCATGGCGGCCGAAATACTATTCCACCGAAGCTCAGTGTCGTTAGAAAAATAGAGCGAAAGTTCGGTACGTAGTGCATCCTGCTAGGCTTGACTGACCGAAGGCTAAGATTTTCTCTCAGTTGGTAATCGAGGGAAATGCTTGATATGCCTCCCGGTATAGGTCATGGAAAAGCGACAGCGGACCAAGGCATTATCAGAGTCGATGCAGGTATTCCAGAACGATTGGTAATCCAGGATGGAACCACGCCACCCGAAACTTACGACGACGTGATCTATTTGGGTTCATCGCTGGTCAGCTACAGGACGCCAAGTGGTAGGTCGGCGCCCACTGTGTCTGAAAGTGGTACTACTAAAAGACAGGCGGTGCTCCACACACAGCTGTAGCAGACGCTCGCCGTTGTTCGTCCACTCGGAGTTAAGTCCATACTTACCCTCGAGAAGAGCTTCTGAAGAGCTCAGACGACCAATTTGCGCACGCATCTCCCCTGCAAGAAGTACGATATCAGAACTGGTAACATTGCGTAACTGCGTGTTCATTTCCTGGTAGAAGGCGTCCTTTGCAGCATCAGAGCTACAATCGGTGGGAGCATAAGCGGAAAATACAAACAGCGTATAGTGCTACTCTGTGAATCAACCTTACTTTATGTGGTCAAACGGACTGCACACAAAGGGCTGTTCACCGGAATCCAATCAACCAACGATGACTCAGCCTTGGAGCTGAGAACAATGCAGCCTCCAGCTTGACCAGTCGGTGCTGCATCGGCGTCTCCTGAAGCGCAACTTTTTAGCCAATAGCGAGAGGACAAACCGAGTGCAGTTAATTCAATAACCCTGTGAGGATCATTGATCCTAGTTTCGGACATACAACACAGGTCAATACTTAATGTGTTTTAAACGACTCTCGTGCTTGAGCGAACGTGCAAAACTTTATCGCTTTTGAGTTGAATCCTCATCTGTGTAAGGTCGTTCGACACGAAAATTTGGAGGCTTTCCAACAGTGTGCCTTAAGAAGGCTGTGGAGGAGTTCGTGCTCCCTTATCCTGTGCAGATTGAATTCAGCTTCAGAGGGAGCTAACATCCATCGTTCAACAGACCAATATATTGCCCGTGTGTACCTTACCAGCGACTGCGCATACACTGAACGTGGTGATTCACACACACCGTCGACGTTAGTCTAAGAAAATCGGAGACCCTAGGATTCATGCGACGCCACAAAAGTGCACATCATCAATGAACAAGATCAGTGCAGAGAGTAGATGCGACTTGTGTTAAGGTCAACAAGAAGAAACTAAGGAGTTTTCACTCTAAATGTGTACGGCTAACTCAACAACACAACTGAAGTGGTTTGGTTCTGCTGGGTATGTTAATTCATTCCGGTTAACTGCTTAACTGATGGAGACAGTTGAACAATTGGAGAATGCCCCCGCTACATCTTTGGACGTAAACGAAGCTATGCTTGTATATCCACGAAACTATAAATTCCCAACCTCACCTAAGCCTCCAACTGTCCCATCTAATATGATTCCCTCAAGCGGACAAGTCATTTATAGCTCGCATGCTTCCACCTTCTTAAAAGTGTCGCACTGAGTATTTCAGTTGCCATACTGGAGACCCATAGCTACAGTCACTCCACAGTAAAGATAACTGGAGATCATACACACCAGATGTTTCCATTACAACACCAGAAAAAGCACCGATGACTCTGCAATGCCTGCCTGCGCAAAAGTGAAGTATCACAACAACACGGATTGCTATCCCATATGTTGCCCACCAATCCACGGAAAAAATAGAACGTAGCGCTTCCAAACCGATAGCCACCAGATGCAATCATGGTGCCTTAATTCTCGAGCACACTAACGTTCCTGGATCAAAATCCAAAACAATAGATGGTAAGCTGCTAGACGACATTAATCGATAAGATTCCAGTTGTAGTGTCATCGGTATCCAGATGACCCTAATACATTGATATGCATCGCGCCTCACCCAAACTTATTGCACTATAGTGAGCTTCGATTATCTCGGGTAAGAGTAAGTCTCGCGGATGAAGCGGAGGACATTCTGCTGTCTATAAATCGACTTCGCAACGTATCAAATGGAGCGTGTGCACTACCGGACATCCCGTGAAAGGAAAGTTCAAAAGGTTACGAGCAGGGTAACGGCGTCCTGTTGATGCCTTATTTTTAAGTACTTAGTTACTTGGCCCATTGTAGTGAGCATTCGGGCAACTTGACCCTTCCATCTTCTCTCAAATGCTCAAAACCTACATTAGACTACATTCGGAAAACGCCATCCACGTCAGGAAACCGTGTCACAAGGACGACATTGCCGTACTTGAAATGCCACAAAGGAGGACCAAGGAAGTAAAGGGTCTATTTATCGCTATTACCAAATGAGGCTGAAAACACTTGGGGTTTACAGTGGACAATAGTGACGCCTGCGTGGAGATTTGATAATGGTGTATCAGATGCCGGAGAATCTTAACTATGCTTGTCGTCAGCACCTGAATCAGAATCACAATAACACTCTGAGAGTGCACCAGCTAAAGCTGGCCACTTAATATAGCTTGTTGCAATGCCGCCAGAATTTCTTTTCACTTCATATGTGCCAAGCTTGGAACGCCCTCTCAAGTTAAGTTGCTACATCGCACACACACCAACCGTATACAGAAAACATTTCGAAAATAAACGCGTACAAATGCATATGCCATAAAGCCATTTATGCCGGGCCGCAAATGGAACATATAAATCAAAGTAATCAGATATCTTCCTGAACTACGAAACCCAAATGCTGCTAAGGTGGAATATCGTTATGATGCGCGAAAACTGGATTTACGGATCGCATGGACCAAAATAAGCAAATAAGCGAGCGACTTGATTTTCGTTTCGCACCGAATACGTCGACTATAACTGCCCCATATGGGGTAGAGCAGCCATTGTGAAGCACTCGTTATGGGATTGGACTGCGACGCGGAATCTCAATATTTACCGTGATTCACAATGAAGTGAGTTTGGATCACCTCGATCACTGGAACCGCGGCACTGGAACCCGGAAACATTGAGATACTATCCGAAAGCACTACATCTAAGCCGCCGGATCAAGTAGAGCGATACTTCTCACAACGGTTAATGGCTGAATATCTGCTATCTCCACCTGAGGAGATCAAAAAAATTCGAAAATGGTCGTGGAGTGCAGTGTTTTCGGGAGCGAAACACCAAATTTCTATCTGCTACGGCTACGGTCCCAGTGACCGCAGTGACCAAGGTTCAACTCAATGTGAATCGCGATCCCAATAGGTATCGCGCGTCGCAATCCAATTATACAACGTGTGCTCCAAAATGACTCTCCGATCAGTCACTGACCGTTGCGCCAACCGTTGCCCATTGTGACCCGGGATCCAAAGGGGTAGAGGTTTCCAGTACTATTCCAATGGTCGCAGGTTCGAGTCCCGCTATCTCCATCTGATGAGATGAAATAACATGGAAACACATGCAGTGCAGTTTTTCGAGCGAGCGACACCAAATTTCCTGCTTCGGCTACGGCTCCAGTGACCACATTGACCAAGGTTCACATCAGTGTGAATCGCGGTCCACAGTAGGATTGCGCGTCGTAAATCATTAGCAAGTGTACTTCAAAATGAACCACAAACCAGCCGTTGTGACAAGCGTTGCCTGTTGTGGCTCTGTGGCTTGGAGGTAGAGGGTTTGGCTTACACTCAAATGGCCACGTGTTCGAGTACCTACTATCTCTAGCTGATGATATCAAACAAGTGCAAAACTAGCCGCGTTTCCATTCAATTCTCAATCAATAAGCAGTAGCACAGTCAACTCGTTAAACGCTTAGACAGATGACTTACGAATGTTTCTACTTTGTAGTTTTCATCCCAATGATTCTATGAGAATTGTCAAGCACCTACTGTTTTACCAGTGGTAACTGCTGATCGTTAATTACGGTGTGGCAACCCAATGACGAGTTACTGAAACCAAGTTTGGTCGATAACCCTTACCTTTGAAACATAATATAAACGAAAAAGCATTATGCACTAATGACTGGCCAGCAGGATGAAGCGGAATAAACGAGAAGACCAAGTTACCTCACCTGTACATGTTGGAGAAGGGGAGCTTGGACCTTAGGTTTCATCGCTTTGTTGATGATTGGTGTGGGATGATCACCATCCAGAGATTCTACGGCATCTAGGCGCTTAAGTAATTCGACTCCAGCGAGCAAGGAAGCGTTACTAGGACGTGAGAGCCATGGAAACTGCAGCGGACTCTAGAAGGACAGAATTGCAAGTCATGATGGATAAGGGATTGGGTGGCCAAGATAGGAGGGCTAATAAAATGAGACAGGAAAAGCTGAAAACTAGCCAAAGTAACATCGAATTCACCAAAATAGTAAAGGTAAATAATGACCAGGTGAAACCATGGGAAAATTAAATAATCCCAACTAAACGAACAAAATACAAAAGACGCACAGCACCTGAAAGGAGAAGTAGAAATTACGGTAAGTATCAACCAATGTGTGGATGGACCAGCGACAACAACACACTAAACAAAGCAACATAGTAGACCCGGTACGACGATGGCCGCGCGAACAACAAATGACGAGGAAGTTCAGTTAAGTGCAGTAGAACAAACAAAATTCGGACATCAAAGTGCAGTGGATCCAGTTGCCACGACTTACGCCGCCAGAACACAAAGATTCAACAATGAAAAGAAAAAGAAGTCGAAAGCAAATGGAATACAACGACAAAAGATCCAGGAGAAGCGGCCAAAAATACTCGGGATAGAAAGCAAACCAACAGCTAGAAGCGAAAAAGGTAGTGCTAGAACGACAGCGATTGTACGAATGCGCCAAGTCGGATAGTCTCCAACCACTGGTGTGGGCCATCCCGAGGCCTGACTAAGTCTCTCGGTCAATTTCGTCATGTCTGTATGTCACGCCATCGACTGGCCAATTCGCGGTTTCACCCAAATTGGTGCAACCATGGCGTATAGTGCACGTCGAAGAAGCCGATCAACGGGCATACAGAGGAAATGGCCTAACCAATGCAAAGGTATAAGAGTTACAAATATTGGAAAAAGGCACCGGAAGGCTTCTTGACGCAAACCAAATGGCGGACTTCAGCACTGCTCCCCCGTGAGCAATACTCCGCAAGCATTGTTAATCAAACACGCCCAGGCGTTTAGTGTCTTGACTGCGAACTGGCCAGGTCCAGGATCTATGCAGTGACGCCGGTCTTGTTGCATCTCCGATCCGGTTTGAGAATGCGCACCACATTTGACAGTCACCAGTCTGATGGCAGCTCATCAGTTTCCCAAATAGTGTTGACTGGATCAGCCAGTCCAACCAACAGAGTTAAGTGCAACTTTCAGTAAAAATGAAGGAAAGGCGTTGGCTCCGGGAGTCTTCCTTCATTTCAACACGACAAGCTCGTATCGAATCTCTTCCAAAGTCGGAGGTGTGACGTGAACTCACGTCGGGCCAGGTGATCCAGCAAATGTAGTACCCATCAGCCTTTCCCAGCTACTGTCACACTAACAGGAGGCTGCCCAAGACCCGTGTTCTAGATGAGCAGGAACAGCAATCGCACGCTTCCAACTCCTCGAAGATCGTCATATTTATCACAGACTGTTATAATTGAGGGAACGCCGCCTCTGTTATGATTGCGTAAATGCCTGACAAGATTGTCGCTGGCACGGTTGGAGCACGCCTACGATAACAGCCTGGAACGCTGACCAATCGAAAGGACTTGCGTTGACCTGATGGCGTTAGCTTAGCCCGGGGTACGCGCTGGTGAGACGGAAATTGAGCGAGCGTGAGAACGATCTTAGCCGCACGTAGTTGGGTAGACGCTGAGCCCTCGGAACGGACGCACACGAGAGGGGGTTACGGTAGACGCGTGCGAGTGACTTAGACGCGAACGCTGCCAGGCTAACGACGCACACAAAATCACGTGACCCGACCGACTCCCAAGTAAGGCGAAGAGGAAAGAAGGACAGGCGGTCTTCTGAAGGCTCTTTTACGACCAACAAAGGGCGAATCACAGCCAATGCTATGGGTTATTAAGTTAGGGAAAACAGTCACCATGAAGAGGTGGTGGTTTGCAGATGACCATTGTCAAAAGGTGCGCAGTTGGACCGCGTCTTGGAGTGGCTGAGCGGAGCTGCGTTGTGGGGAGGAATTGAACCCCGCTTTCCACAGCCATTCTGCCGGGGTTTCTGGCGCGTTTTTGCGGGAATATTTGACGTGCCCAAAACACAGACCCACTATCGTCCTATTCCTAGACATATGAGCTACATTGAACGCGGTTGATCGACCTACTTTCTGGCATTGCTTGCTGTAGGACGAGGTGCCACAGAACTATACCGTCATCTCACGTGCACTTTACTTTCACACTTCCGGCAGAATGAGAGTCTACGACAAACTTTCATCGTCGTTTGTTGTCAATATCGGTGTGCGACAGGGCAGCCCTATGTCCCCATTCCAACTCAATTTCGCAATCAAGGACATTCTGTCGAAAGTTCTGGAAGGTTTCCAAAATTTCTGCTTAGAGATTTTGCCGAGTGAGCGCGCGAATGACTTAGATTATGCTGATGACATCGTCTTGGTGACGATCTACAGGGCATGCAATTCATTTTTGATCGTTTGGCGGTTGAGGCATTTAAGTATGGCATGCGTTTCGCCCCATCGAAGTGTAAGATGTTGCTCCAGGATTGGCACACACCTGCTCCTGTGCTCATTTGTGAAGGTGCATAACTTGAACAGGAAGATAATTTCGTCTACCTTGGGAGTTATGTTTCTGCTGACGGCACTGTCGCATCGCTGAAGCCCGATCAGTATTTGTCAATCTGAGGCACTTGTGGCGTCGTCGCGATGTCTCATTCTCGATAAGGAGCAGTGTTTACAGTACATCCGTTCGTTTAGCATTGTTGTGTGGGAGCAAATCCTGGCCAATTCGCGTGGTGGAAACATCGAGTTCACAGTGATGACGTTCGACGCTGCATCTTTGGGAAGACGAGTATTCCCTTCAACAAACTAATTATGGTGCGTCCTATGCATGGCATCTGAGCGTTTACCGCGTCGCGCTCTATTTGAGCGTCAAGGACCAGGCTGAAAGCGACCGCGTGAAAGTCTGCCTTCCACTTGGCGAGAGCACATGAAATCGCTAACGTCGCGTCTAGCCGTTGTTGGGCCCGTAGGTCTTCCAAGATGGGGACGCAAGGATGAGGAGCGCCAATGGCTTAACAAGCTTGAAGACATGGTCCACAGCCGGGATCGATGGAAGAATTTTGTACAGAATTGGATTAATTAGCATGTTCAGTAACTCTAACATTGAAAAGGAAAAAAGAGAAAAGGCGGTGAGTGAAAAATAAATTAAAAAGGTTTCGTTCTATTTTCCGTCGAATTGTACGTTCTTTTAGCTGTGTACATACTTGCTTAATGCCTAATGAGTACAAAGATTAAAAATGCGGTGTGTGAAATAAGAAAATGTTATTTTCTTCCTGTGGCATAGTAGCTCGTCTTCAAATACTATGCCACGACGAGTATAACGCGGCGACTTTTGTTCGCTAACCTCTATGATTTTTGTTGGTTCTATGTCTATTTGATACTGTTGAGACTACTACTACTACTAATAATAATACTAGCACCGGATCTGCACCTCTCACGAACTTGTAGCAAACACCATCATGCCCGGCTAATTAAAAGACTCCAACCTTGTCAGTCGTTTTAAGGCATTACGAACACAATGAAACCTAGTGTCCATTGGAAGCTGTTTGCATGGTCGATTAAAATGATCGATGCCTCAGAGATCTATTCACAGTTGGGATGAATGAGGTAGCGTGTACAGCAGGTATCAAAGGCATGTCTCATGACCACTTGAGACGATTCTAGTCAGCGTTCGCTCATCAACTTTAGTCATCGCTGACAATTGGTAGATCATCATAAAAAATCTGGAAATTAACGGGGTGCAAAGGTTTGCGTGCCTTCTGACCAGTTGAGACACACTGAGTGGCACTTCCGAAGTGCTGAGAACGATCAAAATGGGCACTCACCGTAATACCCATAGAAAGCAGACTAAGCATAACCCCAGCCAAAGGGGCACGCAGGATCTCAGGATGATGGTGGAGACTCATTTGATTGTACTCTTCGCTTGTATAAAGTCTGAGACAAACCCCGGCGGCCTCTCGTCCAGCACGGCCAGCTCGTTGCCAGGCCTGGCTTTTGGAGATACGTTGCACCCGAAAACTCTCAAGTCCCGTAGAGACTTCCCAATGTCTGCAGAGTATAAATCAAAAAAGAGGGGAGAAACGGGAATTAGAAAATACGGTAACGCACAACGACCAGCCGATGGATTGATGATGCAATCACCAAGTTCATGTAATGGTTTTGTGATAATGAGTTATTATGAGTTTGCGAAAGGTGAAATACCGAGAATTCGGTTAGATCAGCAGATGACAACCCGGAAGTCGTGGTATCATCATGTGAGCTAAGTCAGGTGGAACAGGAAGCGCGTTATCGTGGATTAAAGAACAGGAGCGATATAGAATGGTAGGTAGGACGGAGGTAAAGTTCAGTGGAAGCGCTTCTGCGCAGAGGGGCCAACAAACAATGTAATGTCTTGCAAACAGCTACCATTTGGAGTGGTATACTATGAGTTAGAGAATGAAAGTACAAGGATCGTCTGTTGTCAGTAGTACACAGACAGGATAGGGTGGACGAAAACATTCTCGTATAAGTATGTGGACTTGAAACTGGTAAGCATGGAGGCATTGAATGACCCAGTTATAGCACTCATTGAAAAGACTGAGGGCAATGTTCGCAAGCATGAGCAGACGAAGGTGCCTCTGAAAGTGCGAATTTCTCAAGACAACTAGTGACCACTGCAATCCAGCCGGAAGTGAACTTAGACTGACCGTACTATTAACGGTTAATGAAACGGCATAACGGACTGCAGACTGGGTTGATGCGCTTATCACGTCAGACTTTTCTTTTCCAGTAACAGTAGAAGCGGATTTATCCAGTGCATCAAGAAATGTTCGACTGCAGCGCAATCATGTATGAACTACCTCTAAAATAAATCAGACGCTGTTCAGTTTGTAGAACCCCCAAGGAAGTGCGGCGTTTTTTATCAAGCATAGAGAACATATACATATTGTGATTAAACTGAAGCCGTAAATGGCATTTGATGCCACAATGCGAACAGAAGGCAGTAGATCCGTAAGACCTAACAATGCCCTCCGACTCGACTGTGAGGCCTCGGATCGTTTTCTTCGCGACATCAAGCGTAGGGACAAGACCTAACGTTTTGTGGCGTTGATGAGGTAGCGAAGTGCAATAGGCGTCGGTTGTTATGAGCAAATGAAAATAGCGCGGATATCCCATAAATCCTAGCTCAATGACCGTAGATTGTTTAAAAGAATAGGGACAAAAGCTGACGACCACCACTAGGAAAGTCTTCTGGAAAACACAGCGAGGCCCATCAGCATCTTCTGGTGTTACTCAGATAACCTCTTGCATTATGAGATTATCCCAAAGCTATGACTTAAATGTTACCTCACACATTGTTTTTTTTCTTTTACATAAAACTGATTTGCATAGCAGCACACTGACTGAGGGGTTTCTCACCATACTAACGTGCAGGAGAATCAATGGTGACTGGATGTTGTCAATGCGTTAGTACCGGAAACAAACAATGGCAACAACGCCAGTTTCAAAAAGGCGCAGTGTTGCCGTTGAAAAGGATGGTATGCTGAGATACATAATGAATTGCAAATTCACAGTGGATCGTTCGAAAACGTGAAGGTTACCTTTAGAAAAGAATAACGATAAACTAGGAACGAAGCCGGTTTCCATGGTATCTTACTTTGGATGGATCTTCCCATTCACGGTTGACGGTCAGGTTTACATGCGAAAACACGTAGCATCACTTACCATGCTTTCGACAAAGTGTCGCTTGAATCAGTAATAGCATGTGAAGGAACCGTTTGCCGTAAAACCCACATACAATTGGCAGGTGGATTCGAGCTCTCTGAAGAAATAAGCTTGTAGTTCCCCAGCAGTCTTTATACAAGATACGAACGTTAAGGGCGTCGTGTTCCAGTGCGGGAAAAGGATGTTGCGTCTACAGGTAGAACGATGTAAGTGGAATAAGGACCCTACCATCTTGTGGGAGATGCAAGACACCAGTCAGTTTGAGGCCCTTGAATTGATAGCCTGTCAGCATGAACAATTTGTGGCGTATCCACACAGAGTTAACAATGTCCGCCAAAGTCTTAAAGTCTTTAGTAGCCAGCTGGACATATGTTTCTTTTAAGACAGGCTTGACCGCCCTGGAAATACCGTTTCAAGGTGGAGGCGGTTTTACCTGTGTTATTCAATGATAGTGCAACTTAGAAACAGTACTATTCACATACTCAACCATCCCTATAAGCAACCGTTTGTTCGAATGCAAACTGAAGTTCGTAAGTAGGTTACAATCTGTCATCGTAGCGGTAGTTAATTGCTGAAAATAAAATTATTTGAGCGCGTAAACCTCATTTTGACTTGTTCAGACAACATAACCGAATACAGAACCATGATTCCCAAAAGAATTGAGGTAGCAGCGACACAGTCAGATTAATCATCAGACCTCAGTTAAAATATTAAATGGCCGATAGCCGCTGCGAAACAGCCAGTAGGCATCTTGATGGCTCAAATCTGTGGTGGACAAATTATCCCATCGCTTGAAACACGCATAGGAAATAAATCGAGAATGGATCATAAATTGAAATACTTCGGCGGGATTATTAAAATGATCAAAACATGCATAGTGATAAGTGAAGTTGTGGCGGAAGACTATGTAATAAGCGGATGCGGAATATTCAACAGTCTCCAACTGTGTTTCAATCTGAATTAGACGTTTCGAAAATTCGTTACATTTCCAATTTCAGTAGATTATCCAAGTTATGTGCAATTAAGACTGAAAATAACTTTCCGTACCCTGGAACTTTTAAATCAACTGAAACTAGAAATAAATGTGAGAAAATGACCGTTTCAGAAAGAAAGGTGCACAACTATGACGCAAATACATTGAAAATGGAAAAACTGCAGTTTGTAAAGGTACGGAAAGAGCAAAGGTGGATGGAAATGGGTTCAGCAAAAGCCAAGTGCCATGTGACACCCGTGAACATCTAATATTAAGTTGGCAGTAACTAATACAACTCAAGTTCATGCTTTAAAGACTCGGAATTTAGTAATTTTGAAGGAGTAATACGAATCCAAATCAAATCACAATAAGCTTCGGTGCAAATCAAACGTCCTATAGACAAAGTACTTGCGATAACTCAAAGGAATGCCAGAGCGAAGAATAGCCGCCACATTAAAGCAGGAAATCATACGGTGGACACGTGACTCATAACTATGAGGCAGTCTCACTGTGTTCACAATGAGGCAAAAATATCATGAATGATCAGCACTGAGGGTGTGATGAAAAGTGTGCAGTGAGCGCCGTTTGTGTTAATACAAATAACCGGCCAGAATAACGGGCTTGCTAAAACCAGGGAAGTTGGTAACATGATCAGCGAAGAAATCAAAAATATCACGTTAAGTGGAGTAAGCCAGAGGGCATACTAATGCTTAGCTGAAACGCCACAATTCTATTCTGGACGACGGGTAACTTGCGCTGCACCACACACAGCTCCATCCGCACATCCCATATCCAGTGTAAACCCGAAGGAATATGAACGGAAGACATGAGGATAGGAGCCACGTTTGATCAACGGAGCCGGCCCACACTCCTTCACAGGCAAACACAAGCACGCTGTATTTGGGGGATCAAGCGCACACAAGGCTGTGGTGGGACCGTGGTCCGCTCCACGCTGAGCGCATGGAACTACAGGTTGAGCATAGCACGGCCACAAGAACCGTGCACCCCGTACCCTCCAGCAAAGATCAACTGGCTCCTGGAGCCAGTATGGACGAGGCAGTGGGTAATAGGCAGGTAGGCATGCTGACAACATGCATATCAAGCGCAGCCACACCGGGGATGCCAAATAACAGCCAAGCACATGAAATAACATTATCAAATAAAGTATATGTATTAAAACATACGGCTACGCAGACATTACTGTTTGCTAAATTAACATGAAGTAAGTTGGTTAGCATCGAATCCGAGATATGTACAAAGTGTCCACATGTCATTCAATAAATGCTACAAACGCGACAAAGTTAACGAAAATAAGCTATATATATATATATATATATATATATATATATATATATATATATGTTTGGCTTCTCATGCAGGTCACACTGATAGGCAAATCCGGATACGGAGGCCGCCAAATCAACCATGTATATATATGCATATATATATATATATATATATATATGCATATATATACATGGTTGATTTGGCGGCCTCCGTATCCGGATTTGCCTATCAGTGTGACCTGCATGAGAAGCCAAACATGAAGATTTATGGCCGTGGGGGAACACATGTCGCCTTCACGTAAACAGTCCTGACGCATAGAATGAAAGAGCGTACATAGCTCTGAGCAAGCTACATGTACAGTTGGTTCGTGAAAACAAGTTATCACACCGACTGGAGCTAGCGAAACAATGCTTTTCGAATCATAGCCGTGTTTACAAACACGTGAATGCACTTCGAAAATTGCAGCGTGGAATCGCACCACTCCGTACGATTGGTTGGTATACACACACAACAAAAAGGCGGACAACCCCCATTGCCCAGTACTGGCCTACTTTCCAAGGGGTACTAGCCTAAAACCTTATACTTGCTTCTGTCCCCACACCATCAGTGTTATCCAGCATCAAATTCACAGCAAAAGTGGTTCTTAAAAAGCCACAATCCTTGCGTACACACAGCTTTCCTGGAGTGGATAACCTTCACCCTAAAGCACTGCAGGCAGCAGTCATTCACCTAGCCCAGCCACTTGCCGGATTCTTTCAGAGAAGTCCGTCTGATCCTACCAATTACCGTCCGGTAACACTCCTCTCTGTCCTTTCCAAAGTCATGGAAGCGATCATCGCTGACGTAATGATGGGCTACTTGGAAAATGTAGGCAATGCATTATTAGGATGGGTTGGTAATTTTCTCCGTGAACAGTAGTTCTAGGTTAGAGACCGAACATCTCTGCCCGACTCTAATTGTGTGGAGTGCGACAATCTTGCGAGAGCCATCACCTCAAAAATTTTACTTTTCCGGATGATGTTAAAAGTTGGCCGCGGATCAAGAGAATGGACGACCACAAGATCCTCCATGTGCGACCTAGATGGGACCTGGCATTGACCGGTGAGGAGTTCACTGCCATTCAATGTGTTCAAGTGACACATTATCCACATCCGTCATAGATACGCCTATCTCTAGAATATTGGGGCATAGGACCTGCAGACAAGCTCTCAGGAACTTGACCTCGGTGTGCTGGTGCAGGACGACTTTGGTTGTTCCAGACAGTCGGAATCCAAAAGTGGTAACCAGCACGTTGTTGGCTTGCGGATGACATTCGAAAGTTTGGATTCATTCATCTTCTCTATGATGCTCCATGCCTACGCGCGTTAACACGTCGAATACGTAATCCAGGCTTGACACGCTTACCTAAACCGTAACCTTGCAGCGCTTGAAACTCCCCATGGTCAAAAACAGCGGCTAAATACACTCGGAGTGTTCAGTAGACACTACAGTGGCTACGTGGAGACATATTAGTCTACCAGATACGGAACGACCCATGTACACATGTTGTCACCTCCTGCAACTCATCCCGAACACCAACTTCACATGCAATAGCCTGAAACTGAGTCAACGACACAGTCGTCTTTTCATTAACGCTGGACGAACAGCTCATAGCGACTCAGTGATTCCGCCATAAGTAGCCATCGAACGTTTCGGTGCCTACGCTGTTTATGTGTTCAACGACAGTCTGAAGGTTAGGAATTCTATCCGACCGGACGCAATATTAGCACCATTTGCCAGCGGACCAGTTTAGTCGTTAATACATTTGTGAAAGAGGATAAGTATATTAACAAAAATGTATTGGAACGATCATCTATGTTCAAAATGTCCGCCAGCATTCTGATTGCAGTGCAGAAACCGCTTGATGCAATTGGCGAGCACTTTCTCCAATGTATCCTTTGTGATCGCGCGACATTCGTTCACAATCCTTTCTTTCAACTGGTCCAATGAACGCGGCCTTGTTTTGTACAATGGCCGCTTCAAACAGCCCCATAGAAAAAAGTCCGTGGGGTTCAAATCTGGTGAACGAGCAGAGCACTTCATTGGTCCACCACGTCCGATCCAATGGTGGCCAAATTTGTCGGTGAGGTAAGCACGCACGGTTTTAGCAGAATGTGCTGATGCAGCATCCTGCTGCCACCAAATGGTATTGCATTCCACTTCGGCCTCCGACTGAGGAAGCACAAATGTCTGCAGCATTTCCAAGTACGACGATGCTAGGAAAAGATAAGGTTTTAGTACTTCAAAACAACAAGCTACCGGTCACCTTCCCGAAAAAAAATATGAGCCCAAGATTTCCTGGCTTGTTAATCCGGCACAAACCATCAGTTTCACACTGTGGTGCATACGTGATGCGGTAAATTTTCGTGGGTTGCTGGTAGCCCAACAGTAATGTTTCATCGTTCCATGCAGATGAAACAATGCCTCATCTGTAGAGATAACAGAACGAATATCCCCGTGATCCAGAAACCAGCGGCAAAATTCATGCCGCTTCTCCGGATCGCATGGGGTCAAAACCTGCACTTGAAGTGCACGGAATCTTCCAAACGTTCGTTCCTGTAATATCCGATGTATCGCATATCGGGTCGTGTCACAGTGCTGTGCGATCCGACGAATGCTGAGATCGGGAATTTTTGACACTTCACTGACTACAGCGCAAGCTGAACAGTCGTCCGTGGTGATGCGAAGCGGTCCGGTTTTCTTATGTCACACAACCAGTTTGCTCGAACTTCTTCACTAGTTTAAGCACGTACCGGGCGGTGACGGGACGCATTCCTGCGTTTATTGCATTGTATTTTCTTGAAACCGATGCGGTGCTTAAATCGCATTCACCGTACAGTCAAATAATCAGCGCGCGCTGAGTAACAGGAACGTTACGTGATCCAGACTGCATTGTCTGCTCGTGCTTCAGTATCTGTGACTCAAAAACATTGACACGTGTTGCAATGCCTAACCTCGTCCTCAGCTGAGCTGCCATCACGTGCGCACATTCACGCTGGTTGCCGAGGCCAACTTCGCTGCGTAGCCAGGGGGACACACGGAGACAACCATCGATCGCTCCAACGCCTACGGTTGGTCATGACCTTTAGCACTTAGCGCGAAGTTAGCTGACAGCTAACGAACACCTGAAACACGTTGTGGCTGTCGGCACTCATCTCGCTCATGATCAAAACAGCCTCACGTCGGTGCGGCTTTAGAGGTTAGACTTTATCTCAGCAGAGGCCAGCACTAAATCACTCGACTGCCGAGAATTCCATACGTCCGCAATACTAAGGTGAGGGAGAAATTCATGTCTCGGTACCCGCAGTAGCATGTTCCGAATTTCGCTAACCAATGGATGGCTATTGGACGTTGGGGACAACAACCGTAAATGACCGGCGTTCACTAGAAGCGAGCCACGGTAGGTAAATGAATGCTAATCGGCCTTCCTCCATCAGACTAAACATATATATATATATATATCGCTGGCGGCATCCGGTTTCGGATGTGCCTGTCACTGTGACCAGCTACAGGACGCCTGCGCCTACAGAGGGACCATGGGTGGCTTGCGCTGCACCACACACACAGCTCCAACCACACACCCCATATCCAGTGTAAAGCCGAAGAAATAAGACCGGGGGACATGTGGATGGGAGCCAGGTTTCATCAACGGAGTCGGCCCACACTCCTTCACAGCCAAACACAAGAACGCTGTAGTTGGGAATCAAGCGCACACACAAAGCGGTGGCTGAACCGTAGTCCGCTACACACCAAGTGCATGGAACTACTCTTCGAGCCTAACACGGTCACAAGAACTGTGCACCCCGTCTCCTCCAGCAACGAACAACTGTCTTCTAGAGCCAGCATGGACGAAGTAGTGGGTAATAGACAGGCAGGCACCAAGTCAAAATGCATATCAAACGCAACCACACCGGGAATATCAAGCAACAGCCAATCACTTGAAAGATAAATAAAATAAATCGAGCAATGCATAAGGAAACGTTGACATAAATCGTAAATTAATGAGCATATGTAATATGTTGTTTACAAAGGATTCGAGATAAGTTCATGAGGTCAGAAAGTATATTTTACGGAAATGACACAAACACGAAAATGTTATCGAAATTAACTACAATCGGCTTAAGCGACATGTGCAAGTTTATAGAAGAGCGTACCGGTAGACATTTATATGAGAAAGAAAAGCATTAGGACAAAATTGAAAACCCACCACCTGAAATAAAGAGACTTAACATGCAAACACGCGGTTAGTAAATCGAATGTAGCGCACCTACAAACGCCGCGCCGGTCCTGCCTACGTTCTCTGCAGGACCCGTCGTCGCTTCCGTAGTGGTCCCGAATAGCCTCGCTCATGACTCACTAAGCCTGCCTGACTCAGGCACTCGCGACCGCATGTGCTACAGCACCATGCGCTTGATGTCGATGGAGTACAACCCATATATATATATATATATATATATATATATATATATATATATATATATATAATCACGCCATCAAAGTGAACGGGTAAAATGACTATATAAATCACGTCCTTTTATAAAAAAAAGGATTGACATCATCAACACATTTAGAGTGGAAATAGTAGCTGTGCTTTTGATATGAAACGTATGAGCAAGGTTGAGAAGTTGAGGAATCCAAACAAGCTGTGAAAATATAGTAGTCTGAAGGAAAAATATGACGAGACACACAAGCATTGAAATCAGGTGCGTTTCTAGTCCGTTCTGTAGTGAGTAGGAAGTGGTTAAACGAGTGAGCATACATAACCCACCTGACTTTTGCAAGACCACAGTCGATTACGTAGCGAATACCTGGAATAGTGATGGACGTCTCTGCCAAATTGGTGCTAACGATCACTTTTCGACAACCCTAAATACGAAAGGGATTGAAGAACAGTACGATGTGTGGTGGAATGTTTATCCCGCAATCAATGTTTACGTGCATTGTAGAAAAGAAGGATGTATCGCCGCTAAAGAAGCTGAGATGTTATCGTGTTTCCGGTTAAGGAGCACCTAGCTGGATCTGAGCAAATGTTGACGATTTACATAGCAGACTACGAAATGAATGAGCATCATGTATAAAAGGGGCAAACAGCTGCGCAGACCGCTTGTTACCAAAAGCTGCCGCACTTGCAATGAAGTAAATAAGGACAAAATGGCATAAGTTTAAATGACGTAAACCATGTTGGACAATGGAAATTATTCCGCACTAACGGGTTTTGCATATGAAAGAGCGTGTAGCTGCTTCCCCTGCGGTAGTGAGGAGAAAAAAGGGAAAACTTTGATGTTCATTGATCCAGCATTGTTCTCAGGCAGAACGTAACCATTCTGCTCCGAATGAGGTGCAAGACGACGAATGAGAGAGCAACAACGCATAATCTCCTCCTCGCCGGTAAGGAAAATGAGTATCCCGCGTTCCAATGGGATGGTCTTTGATCGATGTATCTAAAAGTCAAGATAAAGTTGGCTAATGAAGCAAATACATTCCGTGAAGCGATGGGCGCGAAGTCCGATCAGTAAGGTATTGTTATGCGGAGATACGTTGTATTCGGAACCCCTAACGGAGATGGATATGTCTACTCCTAACGAAAGTAGATGGCATTCAATTGAATAACGGTGAGGGAAGCTTATGGATTACCTGAAGACAAGTAAGTGCAGCATCAGCCACATAATCTGAGCACGGTTCGGAAGAATTGAGTACTTTGATGGGGTGTGGACGACCTTCAATGTAGACGACTTTAGTGTGCTCCACTCCGAGAAAATTCACAAACGGAGTAGGGTCAATTGTCGCAGACATAACGATAATCTAAGCAAAGATAAATAGTTAAACAATATTTGATATAAAGCGGGCAGGCTACCTGGTGCTGACAAAGAATCAAAGAAGAGTATCATCGTGATAGGGTTAAACAAAGAAAAAAAGTTTACATCATAGAGAAGTCAAAACAAGGGACAAGGAAACGTGATAATATAAACCTAAAAGAGTATGGGTGGTCAATACTTTATGCATTGTACACGTCTGGTCAACGTCTGTAAGTTGCGCGATGTATGTCATCCACTTAGATGTCACATGTCAATCGAATTGTAATGGTTTTTGTACCTAAACGATCCACTGAGCGATGTTAGGTGGTGCTCCTTGCATCTTTAGATCCACTCATACCAGATTGGTTAATGGTTAAGGGCGAGAGAAACTTAGTCTTCTGGTTTCCCAGGTAAGGAGTGGGAGTGAGGATGACCCCTTAGTACATAAACGGACTCCCTTTAGCGCGCAGGTAAACTTGTTGCCTTGCGGTCAGATTTTTGAATCAAAGGCCTTAGTTGATAATTCTAACCATTCTCCTGTATAGGTCTGTTCCGGCTAGAAGTGAACACGAGACTCGCAACGATCTCAACGCTAAACTGTGGGTTAGTCTGAAGTGAGGCAGTGAAGCCTGGTGGTCTCATCGTACCTCGGAAATGAAAACAGTCGCTGGTTTTGGTAACCACCGGAAGTTACACCGCTGGATACAGGAAAGGGGCAACAGGACACATGGTGTTAGCGAGAACATATGCAAAGAGAATGGACAACCAATCCACAACTAGTAAAAAATATGGAAAATACAAAAACAGTCGAGTATGCTCGGGAGTCAGATAGCCGGATCTTGCCATGCACGTACAGCTGTATACAAATCGCATCGGGGTCATGTCGGAAACGTTAACCCAGGAGGTATTCTAAGAGGAAGTATAATGCACGAAAGTAACCTATGACAGGACGGTTCAACAATCAAGCTAAAAACAAATTGACATTTCGTAAACAAGGTTCAGAAATTGCATTCAAATGGCCAATTAAAATGAGATATGCGCTGGAAAGGAAAATCGAGAACACATATAAGAGAAACGATATGCGTAGGACTTGGAAATTGCGGCCCATTTAACGATTGACATGTTAATGCTTCCTGGATAGCATCCCCCTCCCAGAAAATAACCGGTAACAGATTGCTTCAAACCTTGTGAGCAATGTCAACGACGCATCCAAATAGTCCTATAGGCGAAGGATCTCAATGCACATCAGGCCGCTCAAGGTTCGAGTTCTATACCAGATGGATTGGTATTTTTGTTCGTCGCAATCAGCCGACAATTCAGATATGTCGACCAGCTGTCCGGAAAAGCACCAGACGGACAGCTGGTCGACATATCTGAATTGTCGGCTGATTGCGACGAACAAAAATACTCACCAAAATCCTTCCATTCTAAGTAATACCAATTCGCCCGTACGGATTCCACAAAATGCTATGTCGATTCATAGCTGCCGTAACCGGGAAGTCCTGACGCCGGAAGGCCGACCGCTGTCATCTGCATGGCAGGTGCCTGCATGGCAGTGGAGGATGCGTCGGGCTATATCGCATTTAGCTAACAATTCACGATAGTCAGATACCGTCCTCCATGGCGCAGTTGCATAAGCTGCGGGCTAGTTGGCAAGAGCCACTAGCAGTCATGGGTTCGATCCTCCGCAGAGGACCGAAGGATGCGCACCACTGATGAGCCCCAATAGGGCGAAACGGCCGTCTGGTGCTTTTCCGGACAGCTGGTCGACATATCTGAATTGTCGGCTGATTGCGACGAACAAAAATACTCACCAAAATCCTTCCATTCTAAGATGGATTTGTGTTTACTACGCCTGTTAAACAGTGGTCACGTGATGGATCCATGTGGAGTAATAAGGTGCAATTACACTCCTCCAACCGGCCATAACCTCTGTAAAGACTTGATAACATACAATGAATAGATAAAGTTGAGCAAATTAATCTTAGGAACACTCCCTCGGCGAATACATGTAACCTGATCATTGCTACGCCAGGTGCGGAAATTTTACAGAATGTTGAAAACGACCTACAAGGTGACCTGATAACAGGTGTTTATCAATTGGTTCAATATATCATTATGATTCATTCTGTTTTTCTGACTGCTGAACCCACTCAAGATATGTCCGTCAAAAATCATCTTTACGTATAGTAAGCGCAGCTGAATCCGCAAAGTTTCAGGAATGTGTGGGCCAAGATAAATGGTAAAATAGGAAAACAGAGACGTTTAGTGATAGAAGAACGACCTATGCTTTGGATATCTACAATCATGTGATGGGGGATATGTACAAGTGAATGCAGTCTGTTTGCATGTAGAAAACAGAACGTTAGGTCATAACAATTGGAAGAGTTGAGGGAGAGAGACAGGGAGCACGAGCAAGTCACTAGTTCGTCTAATCTTAGTTGGAGCTTTAATGAGTCTTTGATGACTGGAGTTAGGCAAACCAGGACGATGTCATCAGCATATTTACAGCCTATGAAGTTTGATTGAATAGAGATACGTCTGATGTAGGCGAAGAACAGGAAAGGAAATAGGATGGTTCGCTACAATATACCACAGTTAGCTGGGAGTATAGAAGACTTTCTCCAGCATAGCTGCGTGAAGTGAGCATGATTTGTGAAGTAACTAAGCAGCACACTACACACATGGGAGACACATTTTCGGACGAAATGTTGAGCAGGATTAAACTGTTGAGGCTCCCAAAGGTTTAATCAAAAAATAGGAGCCGTACGCCCTTTCATCTATGGTCCAACGCTAAGGTAACTGCATGCACGAGATAAGAAACAGCATCAAATGTAGACTGCCCTTGTTTATGGGCAAACTGTTGGAAATCATCGGTAGGATTGTCTGTGAAAATACGGGGATCAGTATATAGTTCAGTACCTTTAGCAACACGGACGCCCACGCCGTTGGCCGACATTTATGACTGTTAGTCTGGATTCAAGACTGGCGTGAATAGCTCTGAATGCACTTGAAAAATGCTACGCATTGTAGTTCATCGGGTAACGAGGTAAGCAAACCATCGCGCCACGTTAAGATCCAGTCTCATCGCGATGCCTAAGAACCAGTCTGGTAACAATGGACAGTCCCTGCACCGGTAGCGCAGCAATTCGTAAAGTATTTCAGGTGGCGCTAGAGAGAGTGTTAACTTCAGTGTAAAAAGGTTGACCGATTTCAGAGATAATGACTGAAAACTAGCAAATCAAAATTCTAATACCCCACAACAAAACAAATAGTACGGCAAAAGTGAAAGCCTGTAGTTACGTAATGCTATATAAAATGCATTTGAATGTAGCAACTCGCTTAGAAAACCGTTGTGGGACCGGAGAGACGTTCCACCAGTATGCACTGCTACCGAAAAGCCATTGGAAATTGTCCGTCGGTTCCCTTAGCTAAAAATTTATAGCATCTTTGGTAGTCAAACAACCGAATAATTTACCGAGTGGGTGAACAAAATTAATTTAGTTGATACCGCCTTTTCGAGTAAAGTTTGAGCGCCCCAGCCAGTGCGAGTGTCTAGATCAGACATGTCCACTACACGCTGAGGACAGTGTGAGGCTGTTCTCATCGCGTGTACTCATCGGTAGTTGCACAGCATCGCTCCAACTTGATGAGACCGACGAGTGCGTAATGTTGGGGCCAGCAAGTTTGTAGCAGATGAGCAACTCACTGCTAAGCTTGAACTGCTTAGGGTGGCTGTGTCACGTTCGCCACCTATCCTATCGATTGGCTATCTCCGGTCGCACTGTTGACCGATACTCCAACCGGCTAATCGGCCAAACACATGGCCAGAGGGTCAAGATCTCGAATTAGTGAAAGTATGTGCCGCAGGATGAGGAGTAAACCAGTTACTTTTGTAGAGCCATGGCACCAGGAAACATAAAACCAATGCACTCATAAGAATGCAGTTGTATTTGCGCTCACCTATCATACTGTGCGCACAGTGGAGCATCGGAATCTAAAAGCAGCAACTTACCTTCAGTAACGGAAGAGGCCGGTTAAATTGGAGTTTTGGGGAATTTTTTCCAGTTACATTACAAGTAACGTGATGGGTGTTTGCTGTCTTGTAGTGACTTCGCGTCCAGGCCTCGACTCGGCGTCGAGCAGCGGTCAGAAGGACACCAAACAAAATATCTGTATTGAGGCCACGTTCGTGTGCTTCATCTAGGATGACATAACGGTATCGTGAAAGCTCTGGATCTAAAACAGCTTCTCGAAGGAGCATTCCATCAGTCATATATCGAAGACGGGTGGTGCGCGGATTAGACACATCCTCAAAGCGAACACAATACCCGACGGGGCCTTCCCCCACTGGACCACGCCCCAGCTCCTCGGCCACACGGACGGCCACAGTGATGGCAGCCACTCGACGAGGCTGTAAGAAGCACAAAGAAGAGAAAATGATATGAGCACTGTATCAACGTCTGTTTCAGCAAAGGTATTAGGATGCTTACCGTACAGTAAAGCGGCAAATGCTTGAGTTATTTTCGAATCCAATTGCCACTTACGCTAAAGCAGCCAAAGAAAGACATGACATATACCGATGGAGATCGCGACCAGAAATGTTTACCTGTGAGAAGTTCTAGACATATGGTCGCGTAAATTGGTTCAATGTTCATCTCAGCCTTCCTCCCATTCCTCTGACAGTTCATTAGCTCGCCATCCTAATTTTTGCGGATGCACGATACCAATGGAAGCTAATGGTTCACTTTGTACTCTGCTAGCTCTGAAGTCCCAGACGATGAATGTCCGATGGCTGATGAGACATAGAAAACAAGGGTAGAGGAAGCCACGCAGCTGGTCAACTTCAAGCCAGATCAAGCAATTCTCGGCATCCCGCTCGTCCTGTAGGAGCCGAAGCTACTGATAAAGTGTAAAAGTCCCGCTGTTTTTCATGCGCCTCAGTCCACCGATCCAACTCCTCTGGTCTACTATGAGTTTTACAGAACCTGGTTGATAGGCACCTCGAAGTGATCGAGAACGGAGTGGAAATTGAGGCAGCTCATCCATCTTGGTTAGGATGCTGCTGTGAGGGACCAACCTATGCGGGTAAGTTTCGCCGACGAGACCAGCCCGAAGTTGAGAGGCAAAAGGGTGAGTATTCGCCCGAATATGGATCCAGCTGACAAAGAACGCCTCAAATAATGCCATCGTCGAGCTAAAGCAGCGAACCGGTGAGGAAAAGACAAACGTACGTATTGTAAATCTTCGGATGATTACAACTGCCGGGGTGCCCAGCTGCGGTACTGCTGCCTACGGCCAGTTATACCTGGTCCCAATCCAACCATGAAAACAGAACCCAGACTCGGGTAAATGAAGTGTATTCTATGGAACGGAATGGTGCTACTTATAGATCACTAAACTTCTAAGTAAGAAAGCCTAGAACTCTTCGTCGTCGGCATCGTGGTCTCAACCAATGTGAACGCATTTCGTTTTGCTTGGGTTATCATACTTGACCATTTGTTCGGGTTCACCAGCCACTCACATCGCACCTGTGGTTCCATATTTGGCACAACCTAGTTCACCCGATCGGCGCTCACACGGCTGACGCCAAAACGATCTTGCCAGCCACCCATGACGCACACGCGTTCCGTTGTTGGCATCTGATCACATGTATGTCATCGCACCAGACCAAACTGTCTGCCCGGCCTAGTGCAGTAATGTCGAGCATGGGTATTCGCTCCGCTTGGCTTCCTGCTAACAACACGAACGCAGATACGGGCAGACCATGTGTTCATTCAGCAGGCAGGCCCGGTAGCCTTGCTGATGTCTGCAGTTTTATGTCCAGGCGTTATGATATGGGTTACTTCCGAGCAGCCGTACGTAGTGGGACTTGCAGACGTTGTTGAACGTTGAGGCACTCGCACAATATTGAGCCAAGTGGCAACTCGTGATTTCCTTGTGAAAGGCTATCGCATCCCCGCGGTGGTGTCTAGCACTACATTTAGTCTGCTAGGTATGGGAGACTTGTGACCGTCTACCGAAGTGAAGATGACCTATGTCATCAGCTATGGTTCTTGATAAACCTTAGGCCCGGAGAGCTGACCGTGGGCTCAGTCTATCACAGTCTCATTAGCCGTTGGTTGGAGTGGCTACCGTATCTCGGGAACCATATGAGTCACCCCCATGTTACTCACAGGCGATTTGATTTGTCCTCGAATACGGTGCCCTGAGGTTCGACTTATGACCGAATATTGTGAAGCAGGACTAAAATAAAATTGTGGAACCCAACCCATCCGCCCACCGAAGCGCATAATACTGCGTCCAACTCAATCGTGTCTAAACTTGGTGTTACCAGGATGCATCTGTTAAAGTTTGCTGGTCAGTTGTAAGGATGGCGTAAACTCATTGTGCAACCGGCTTGCGTCTCTCAAGCGTCAGAAAAGCGGACCGGTCAGGCGACATTGTTTTCACATGAAGTATGGTAAAGGGCTCGGCAGTGACGCAGATTGTGAGACAAATTCCTTATCTTCGGTCGACCACTACGAGTCTTATAATAGACAGTGAAGTATTTCAAACGTAGCGAAAACGAGAAAGCGCCGGCATTTCGAAGAGCAGCTCGCAACTGCCATAAACACTAATTAGGTCAAGCGGCGCCTGAAGACCACAGGTGATCCACCAGTGATAGATGGCTGAAGCGGACAGCGAAATTGAGCGTCCGTCCGCAAAACCGATGAAACTTTGATTCCCCGATCGCCAACAATCAAGCATCTGTGCCGAGTTCGACGTGTACCGGCCTTACCGAACTAGAGAGTGCGGACTGCAGTACCGAAGACGCGCGTCAACTACTCGCACACATATCCGGTGGAAACCCGAAGGAATAACACCGAGAGGCGTGTGGATGGGAGCCACGTTTCATCAACGGAGCCGGCCCACACTCCTTCACAGGCAAACACAAGCACGCTGTATTCGGGAATCAAGCGCACACACAAGGCGGTGGTTGGAGCGTAGTCCGCTCCACGCTGAGTACATGGAACCACTCTTCGAGCCTAGAAAGAAACAATCACCGTGCACCCCTTCCCTTCAAGCAACGACCAACTGTCTCCTTGAGCCAGAATGGACGAGGTAGTGGGTACTAGACAGGTAGACACCTTGTCAACATGCACATCAAGCGCAACTACACCGGGGAAGTCAAACAACAGCCAATCACTTGAAATGACATTAACAAATAAAATATATCTATTGAAGAATACCGCTATGCAGACATAACTTTTCCCTAAATCAGAATATAAAGTAAGTTGGTTAGCAACCAATACGCCGTAAGTACAAAACGTCCATAAGTTACTCAAAAAATGATACAAACGCAAAAAAATGCAGAAGAAAACCACAATTAGCGGAAGCAAGGTGGCCAGTTAATAGAACATAAGACAGGTAGGCAGAAGAAACCAAAAAAGTGGAATGAAATTTACCCAGCTTCAAAGCTAAGGTGTACGTTAGATATCCTCAAGTGCGTCGCAGCAACATCATGAGTGCCAAATCAGCCTCCGCATATTTGGTTGGCGGCATCCGGTTTCGGATTCGCCTGTCACTGTGGCCAGCCACAGGACCCCTGCGCCTACAGATGGACCATGGGTGGCCTACGCTGCACCACCCACAGCTCCATCCACACACCCCATATCCAGTGGAAACCCGAAAAAATAAGTCCGGGAGGCATGCGGATGGGAGCCACGTTTCATCAACGGAGTCAGTCCACACTCCTTCACAGGCAAACACAAGCACGCTGTATTTGGAGAATCAACCGCACACAAGGCGGTGGTTGGACCGTACTCCGCTCCCCATTGACTGCATCGAACCACTCTTTGATATAACACGGCCACAAGAACCGTGCACCCCGTCCCTTGCAACAACGACCAACTGCCTCCTGGAGCCAGATGGACGAGGTAGTCGTTAATAGACAGGTACGCACCTTGTCAACATGCACATCAAGCGCAGTCACATCCGGGATGTCAAACAACAGCGAATCACTCAAAATGCCTATATCGAATAAAGTAAACGCATATGACGACAAAAACAATCCCCAAATGAGCACATAGAAGAAACTGGTTATAAGTTAATCCGTGATAAGTACAAAATTTCCGAGTTATTTGAAAAATACCGCGCGATACAATTACGCAAGTTCACCACAAATTGCATGAGCGCCAGGAGCAAGCTGGCAGAAGGTTATCAAGTACGCAGAACAAACAAAATACAATGTAACGAATTCTGTCCACATTAAAAATACCTAGTTTAAAGGTAAGTCTGTTTAGCCCAACGGGGGTAAAGAAGCATCATGAATGCTACATCAGCCTTAGCATGGGGCACACATACATACATGGATGGCGGCATCCGATTTCGGATTTGCCCGTCACTGTGGCCAGCCACAGCAAGCCTACGGGTACAGAGGGACCATGGGTGGCTTGCGCTGCACCACACACAGCTCCAACCACACACCCCATATCCAGTGCAAACCCGAAGGAATAAGACCGGGAGACATGCGGATGGGAGCCACGTTTCATCAACGGAGCCGGCCCACACTCCTTCAAAGGCAAACACAAGCACGCTGTATACGGGAATCAAGCGCACACAAGGCGGTGGCTGGACCGTAGTCCGCTACACACTAAGAACACGGAACTACTCTTTGATCCTAACACGGCCACAAGAACTGTGCACCCCGTCTCCTCCAGCAACGACCAACTGTACCAAAGAGCCAGTATGGACAAAGTAGTGGGTAATAGACAGGTAGCCACCTTGTCAACATGCACATCAAACGCAACCACACCGGGAATATCAAGCAACAGCCAATCACTTGAAAGATAAATAAAATAAATCGAGCAATGCATAAGGAAACGTTGACATAAATCGTAAATTAATGAGCATATGTAATATGTTGTTTACAAAGGATTCGAGATAAGTTCATGAGGTCAGAAAGTATATTTTACGGAAATGACACAAACACGAAAATGTTATCGAAATTAACTACAAACGGCTTAAGCGACATGTGCAAGTTTATAGAAGAGCGTACTGGTAGACATTTATATAAGAAAGAAAAGCATTAGGACAAAATTGAAAACCCACCACCTGAAATAAAGAGAATTAGCATGCAAACACGCGGTTAGTAAATCGAATGCAGCGTACCTACAAACGCTGCGCTGATTCTGCCTACGTTCTCTGCAGGACCCGTCGTCGCTTCGGTAGTGGGCCCGAGTGGCCTCGCTCATGGCTCACTAAGCCTGCCTGACTCAGGCACTCGCGACCGCATGTGCTACAGCACCATGCGCTCGATGTCGATAGAGAACAACCCATCGGTGATTGCCGCTTCCGCACTTGTCACTTCTTATCTTCATGTATGACGTCATTCTCTCGCACTTCGGCAGCTGCCTTCGTGTTTAGATCGCG